TCTCAATATAAAGAAAACAAAAATCCTCACAACTGGACCAATGAGCAGCATCACAATAAATGGAGAGATTAAGGTTGTCAAAGAATTCACGTTGCTTGGTTCTACAATCGATGCCAATGGAAGCAGCAGTCAGGACATTAAACGACATGTAGCATTGGAAAAGTCAACCGCGAAGGAACTGTTTCAAGTGCTGAGGAGCAAGGATGTTTCCTTGAGGACTAAGGTGCGCCTGACAGAAGCCATGATATTTCCAATCGCCTGGTATGCATGTGAGAGCTGGACAATGAATAAGAAAGACTGAAAAAGAGTTGATGCTTTTGAGTTGTAGTGCTGGCGAAGAATGCTGGAAGTACCATGGACTACTAAAAGAACTAACAGATCTGTCCTGGAGGAAGTGCAGCCAGAATGCTCCTTGGAAGCAAGAATGGCCAGACTTCGTCTTACCTATTTTGGTCATGTTGTCAGAAGGGACCATTCCTTGGAGAAGGTTGTTATGCTTGGTCGGGTGGAGGGTCGACGAAAGAGGGGGAGGCCTTCAACGAGATGGATTGACATGGTGGCTGTGATGATGGGCTCAAGTATAGCAAGGATCGTGGATATGGCGCGAGATCGGACAGTGTTTCATTCTGCTGTGCATTGGGATGCTATGAGTGGGAAACAACTCAACGGCACCTAACAACAACAACAACAGCCATGGTCTTTATGACTGCCACCAGATTTCTGGGTGGGACCATGCAAACATGAGGTGCTTGTGGCCACCAAGGGGATTGAATAGCTTGCTAATAAGGTAAATAAGGTACATGGCACCCTTGCAGAAGTGAGACCACAGACATGCAGAGTATGGAATGCTAATGTGAGAATTGGCGAGTTTTGCCATCTAAGCTTAAAATGAGAGGTTTATAATCCCAGAAGCAAAAAGGGGGGGATCTCACTATAATCAAGAAAGAAAATCCAGGAGAAGAGTGCTCCTTTGGACTTGACATTACTGCCCTGGACCTCCTTGACCCAGAAGACAAAGCGAGAGAGTTGTAACACTCAGCGGAGAGATGGCAGAGAGTGGCAATAGTGGTAGCAGAACCAAGAGATCAGCATGAGACACAGCAGTGGGTTTCCCAGCCTACAGGGCAAGAGAACTGAGTGCCTTTGGGCAAGAGGCTTCCTGGCAGAGTAGGGTGCCACTCTGGGCACTTGTCAGCAGAACTAAAAGAGCTTTGTAACACTTGCCTGAGGAAGGCAGAGGCCAGACCGAGAAGTTGAGGCCAGAGAAAAGTGAGCCTACTACATAGTGAGGGGAAGCTCTCCTGATCGAAGAACTGTATACTGAGTGTTCTCAATCCTGAATTGTAATCTGTAACTTCCCTAACAAACCTCATAATGGTGAGTATTGTCTGAGATCTGTGTGGCCACTGCAATGAATTATCAAACACAGCAAGGAATTAGTGAGTGCTGTGGGAGAGACAGTTGGTGTCAGAATGGTTAAAAAAAGAAAACCTTTGGGGGGTGGCAGCATGTCTGGCCTCTGCCTCATAGGAATCAGCTTTGAGGTGTGGCTGCTGATCTTGATACTTCTCCCTACCTTGTGAAGTTAGAGGAAGTCAGACACTGCTCCCATGCCCCCACAGTCATGGTTTCAAATTTGCATTAGTTTACGTCTGTGTAAGAAAATTATTTTAAGCTAAAGTTTTTCTTAAGCATTTTTTAAAGTTATTAATAAATATAACAATTAAATTTCCTAACTAATTAGTATATGTTGAAAAATTTTCATCAGATTGTGTTTTCTGAAATGATAATAAAGGACATACACAGTGTGCAATAATACTTCTTCCTTACCTCCAGTTTATTTCTTGAAGAAGTGGATTTCCACTGAGAGACAATTCATGGAGAGAAATGCAAGCATCAAACCACTTTATGGCACTTGTAAGATCTATAAAAATTAAACAATGAAAATCATGAAAGGTATCACAAATAAATTTTAATAACATTATAAACCAATACCATTTTATTTATTATTAGCTATCGTGATAGTTGTGTATCAACTTTGCTGGGCCTGGTTGAGTAGCTGGGCAGATCATGGTAGTTATTCCCCATGATGAGACTGGCAATCAGCTCCATGGTGGGATCTACCACAAGCAGCTGAGTAGCCGCTTGAGGGATGTGGTCTGCTTCCCATATTTAAGAAGCAGCTTTGGGAATGGTCTCTAGCTTATGGCACTCTTGAACCCTGCATGTAGCCATGTTGTTGTTCAGCAGCCTGCCATGCTCTGCCAACCTTGGAACTTTCAATGGGCTTGAATTAATGGCCTGCTGTGTGGTTTGGTAACATTGGCACTGTGCCTTTTTACTTGTCAACCTTGGGCTTGTCAGTCTCAGCAGCCAGCAGCTGTCTGAGTGAAGAAAAGCCTCTAGCTTCAGTGGGCTGGGAACAGGAGGTAGAGCTAAAGTCCAAGGTTGAGGAGCCTTCATCTCGCCTCCAGAGCCTGGCACTTTGAACATGGACTCCAAATTGTAAGACTAAACTCCTGTTTGTTAAGGTCATCCCATTAGTAGTATATTTTCTGTTACAGTAGCACTAGGTAACCAAAAGAGCTATTAGAGAAAATCAATATGAATATTTTTCTGCAGAATACTATTTTGTATAATGGAGACTGAATTGAGTTAAAAACACAGACTCTCTAATCAGAATACCCATTTCTATAATTTAGCATCTTTATGAACTTACTCAAATCACATAACTGCTTTACGATTCAGATTCATATCTATTCTAAGATAATGTAGATAAAGGTAATGTTGTGGTAATGTATGTAAAGGACTTAGAATAATTATTGGCAGATTATAAGCACAAAATTTGAAAAAGTACAATGTACAGTAAAAAGATGAGAGTGGTAAAACTGAACATATACCTAAGAAGAATTACATGGGCCTACCAGCCACTCCTCAGAAGGAAGATTGGGCAATCTACTTCTGTAGCGACACTGACTTGGAAACCAAAGGAGGGGTTGCTATGAATAGGAATCAACTTGATGGCAGTGAGTTTCCTTTTTTAATCTTTTCAAGATGCCCTGGTGTTACAACAGTTAACCCCTTGGCTGCTAATTGAACAGCTGGTTGTTCAAACTGCCCCCACCCAGCAGTAACATGAGAGAAAGACCTGGTGATCTGCTCCCATAAAGATGAAATCAAACCAAAACCCAAATCTAGTGCCATCAATTCATTTCAACTCATAGTGACCCTATAGGTCAGAGTAGAAATGCCCCATAAAATTTCCAAGGTTATAATCTTTATGGAAGCAGATTGTCATATCTTTCTGCCATGGAGCAACTGGTGGGTTTGAATTGCTAGCTGTGGTAGTAAAGTTTGTGTGTCAACTTGACTGGGCCTGGTTGAGTGGTTGGGCAGCTGGATGTAGTTATTCCCCATGGTAAGATTGGTAATTAACTCCATGATGGAATGTATTGGAGCAGCTGAGTAGCTGCTTTAGAGATGTGGGCTGCTTTCCATATATAAGAAGCAGCTTTGGGAATGGACTCTAGCTTGTGTCATGCTTAAACCCTGCATGTAGCCATGTCGTTGTTCAGCAGCCTGCCACGCTCTGCCAACCTTCAGACTTTCAATGAACTTGAGTTAATGGCCTACCATGTGGTTTGGTAATATCGGTACTGTGCCTTTTTACTTGTCAACTTTGAGCTTGTCAGTCTCAGCAGCTAGCAGCTGTCTGAGTGAAGAAAAGCCTCTAGCTCCAGTGGGCTGGGAACAGGAGGCAGAGCTGAAGCCCAAGGCTGAGGGGCTTTCACCCAGCCCCTAGAGCCTGGCATTTTGAACTTGGACTTAAAGCCTCCAAACTGTAAGAAAAATTACCTCCTATTTGTTTAAGCCATCCCATTTGTGGTATATTCTTGTAAGAGTAGCACTAGGGAACCAGAACACTAGCTTTTGGTTAGCTCTAGCACTTAACTACTGTGCCAAAAGATTACAGCATAAAATCCTATAGGGTCAGTTCTACTCTGTCACATGGGGTTGCCATGGGTCAAAATAGACTCAGTGGCACTTAACAACATTATCTTTTCAAAAGTAAAAAAAAAAGTCGGTAAATCTATGGCGCATGACAAAGTAATTTTTATAAGAATTGCTCTCATACAGAAAACCACTGTAAAACTGGACAATATATATGAAGCACCTGTTTTAAGCAATGGATATCTGGAAGTACAGGACTAGCTCTCAGAGAAGGGAAGCACACAGGTGAACCTCACAATTACTCTATGATCATGTTGACTTCTCTTATTGAAAAGCTGTGTGTGACGTGGTGGGGAGAGAGGCACTAAGCAATGAAATAGAAAATATTTAAGCAGCAGAGAAATCAAAAACACCAAAGTGGTTCTTAGAAATAATAAAGTTGGCAAATCCCTAGGCAACACTGACACACACACACACATACACAGAGAGAGAGAGACAAAGATAGAGAAATAGACACATAATTGAGAGAAAGAATACAAATTACCAATATAAGGATGGAAAGAGACAGTTTCTATAAATATTAAAATGATAAGGAAATGTTATAAGCAATCTACTTTGATAATTTAGATTAATTGGACAAACTCCTTGCAAATAAAGTATTTCTAAAACTGACATAAAATGGAATGGAAAACCTGAATAGTCTTTTGCTGTTTAAAAAACTGAATATATAAGTTAAACCTATTACCCATTGCTGTTGAGTCGATTCTGACTCATAGCTACCCTATAGAATAAAGTAGAGCTAGCCTAAAGGATTTTCAAGGATGTAATCTCTATAGATGAAGGCTGACACATTTTTTTTTACCATGGAGCAGCAGATGCGTTTGAATTGCTAGTCTCTAGGTTAGCAACTGAGAACTTAATGACTGTGACACCAGGGCTCCTTATGCAAATTTAAATCTTCCCCAAAACAAAACTGCAGGCCACAATGGTTTCAAAGTTAAATTACCTTAGACATTTAAAAAAGAATTATCACCAAATTCACATAAGCTTTTTCAGAAAATAGAGGAGGGAACACTTCCGAAATAATTTTCTAAGGACAGCATAACGGTAACCTAAAACCTAGAATAGGACAGTACCAAAAAAGAAAATTACAGACCAGAGGCCAGAAACAGACCTATACTTAAATGGATAATTGATTTTTGACAAAGACATCAAAGTCATTCAATGGTGAGAAAAGCCTGTTGAATAAATTTTATTGGGATAACTAACTATCCAAATGAAAAATAAATAAATTCAATCACTACCTCACACCTTACATAAAAGTTAATTTGAGATGACAATAAACCTAAATGTAAAAACATAAAGTATAAAGTTTCTAGAAGAATAGTGTGATAGTTGAAGCTGTGTGTCAACTTGGTTGGACCACAATTCTGTGTGGTTTAAGCAGCTGTGATGTGGTTATTCCCATGATGGGATCAGATGTATATGTTTTGAGCAGCCAATCCATTGACTGCTAACCAGAAGGCTGGCGGTTCAAACCCACCAGGCACTCCTCAGAAGGAAGATGGGGCAATCTACTTCCTTAGTGATACTGCCTCAGAAACCCAAGGAGGGGTCACTATGAGTCGGGTCTGTCTCAAAGGCACATAACAACAACATTGTACTGATTAAGAGCTCCGGTGGCACTGTGGTAAAAGCATTTTGCTGCTACTCAAAAGGTTGGTTTGAGCCCATCAGCTGCTCTACAGGTGAAAGATGAGTCAATCTGCTTCCATACAAAGATTTACAGCCTTGGAAACCGTAGGGGGGCTGATATGAGTCAGAATGGACTCGTTGGCAGTGGATTTGGTTTTATTGTATAGATTCATTATTTGTAAATGGCATTTACATATTTATGAATTTAAAACAACTCTTTACCATATTTGGAACAAAAATCAAATGTCTATTATTTTTTAAAAGATATGTTATTCTAAACTTACCAGAAAGGCAATTGTTGCTGACATCCAATTTTTCCAAAGAAATAAAATGAAAAAGTGGTATAATTTCTGTTAAACTGAAAACACAAATATAAAATTCATAAAATAATTAACTTGGAATGTGTTTAATATTAATAATGTACCTACATAATAATATCTATATAATATATAATAAATGTTAATCATTTACTAACAGTACTTAATGAAAATGCAGTAATCATATGAATCTATAATATTTATTCTATAGAAGACTTCTCTTCACTTTTAAAGAGAAATTATCATGAAATTGCCATTTGTGATAACAAATATCATGGATGTGTACTTATTTAAATAAAATAAGTTTAATTTTTGGTATTGCTTCATACCTTCTTAAATGCTAAGTTTATAGAGAAACTATTTTTTGTTTTTATTTTCTTTCTAGTTCAACAACATAGCCTAACCCTTTAATTAACACACACATCAGTTATTTTAATTTTTCATCAGTATAACTGATTAGAGACATTAGATTTTTTTCTTAATTTTAAAAATGTTTTGTTTCCTATATTGAAAGCATTTTAAATAGTTTGAATATTATTAGTTACACTATAGGCATTTCTAATTTGAAATATTTTGAATATATAAACAATGAATCTATAGTATCCAATAGCAGAAAATGTATTACACTGGTAAAAGATCTAAATCTTACACAAATATGTTAATATTTAAAATTAGTATCCTTATTATATTACATGCATATTCAAATAGTAATAATAACAAAACTTTCCTCCGTTTTTAGGAGTTTCTATCATTTCTTAAGTTATAAATTGTTATAAAGAACAGATATTTAAGCAAAATGAATAAGGGGCAGTCATAATATTCACATCTTGGAAAGAAAGTAAATACTTTAGCTTTACTTGTATATCCAACTTCTGTAAACAATCTATTTAGAATTTAAAGCTAAGCCAGGTGATCTGAATCTTTAAACAAGAGAAACATTCCTTTGCATAAAAGATATTCTCATCACAATGACAAAAGTCTTCTAAACTAATGTCCTCTGTGAATGCTCCATCTATTCAAAGTAGCTTCAGCTAAAGGAATATCTTTGGTATAAAAAGAAAGGTAAGCATTTATCTCCACTTTTTTTTACTTTTCTGCTTTTTCTACTGTCCCCTTAGTTATTATGCCAGAATTATTCTCTTTTTTATTTGTATCAACTCCTTACCATTTAAAAACAAAAACTACTATTATTCTAAGGTCAGAAGCTTACAGAGTAACATTATGACTGAGGACTCATGGAGTCTGGCACAAAACTAACCCTTTTGCGTTGACCTTGACTCCTCCCTTGTACTGTCCTGTTCTGCATTAGCAGACAGTAGCTACTATTGGAAAAAAAAAAAGACTAAATTATAAGGCTGGGAGAAGATTCCTCTAAATATAACCAATACTAAGTTCAACATTACTATTCAGATGAAACCTATATAATACTATTTCTGAAAAACAGGTTCCAGAAAAAAAAAAAAAAAAAACTAAGGTAATACAAGAAAAAATCAAGTACTGATCATTCCATTTGTAGTTCTTTGTAATTTGTATATATTCTTCTTATTAGTATAATTTGCCTAAATGTCTTCTGGATGTTCAAAAAGATGGAAAAAGAAATAAAAAAAATAACAACAATAAACCAAACTTTAATACTTTGTCAGTATTCAATTAATGCATTTAAGTCCTAATTTTATGACATTTCCTATGTAAGTATGTTCTGGATTATTATATGTAACAAATTTAAATTCTTCAACAGAAATTATAATTCTAATAAATTTGTTTGGTGATGAGAAACTTCTTATTTCTGTTGTATGTATCTTTAATATCTTTTTAATATAAAATTTTTGCTATTCTACTACAGCAATATATTACAGCCTTTAAAACACAGTTTCTCTCTCTTTCAGACTATCTCATGTTTTTAAACCAATAAATTATATGGTGCTACAAAGGTTGTTACACAGACAACAGATGGAAAAAACCAATGAAGTTTTAGAACTAAAAATCAATAGTAATTTTCTTTGCAAAAAGCAATACAAGAAAAGAAATATCTGGTTTGGTCAAGTAATTTTGTAAAACTATAATTTTACGTTTTCAGGTAACTATGTTTTCAGAATTACATTCTTTTTCTTTTTTTTAAATTTTGAACAAGCAAGCTAGTCATTCATTTGCCTTTATGACTATTCATTAGCATGTTGGAAACTTAATAGTAGAATGTGTTAAAAAAAAAAAAAAAAGAAAAAAACCTCTATAACTTTTCCTTTTACTGAATTGCTGTGCATATTTTTTTCTAAGAAAATTCAAACCAGAAAGACAAAGGACATTAGTGAAAATCTAATACTATTTGACCTTGTCACATTAGCCCTGGGCATAAAAAAGATATAAATTTCAAAGACGACAAAAAGCAAAAGATTTGTACAATGAGCAGCCAATGGGTAATAGTTTCCACTTTCTGCTCCTTTTTAAAGTCTCACTGGAAGTAGAAAAGCTTATGAAGCTGCAGAGCCTTCCAGTTAGAACTCCAGGGAGTCAAAACTGGAAACAGTCACATGTTCTAATGAAAATTAAAACAGAAGTCAGGATGAAACAAGTATTTTAAACAATATGTACTAAATATCATTCTTTATGTGTTTTTCATTTGTTGGGAAAAAGAGCTTATGGACACACTCTCTTCCTTATGTTGAAAATATTACAAAAAATTAGAGAAAAATATATACAATTTAAAAACCATACTAAAACACTGCAAACCAAAATATTTCATCTAAATTCTTCTCAGGTTTGTAATACATAATCACACGTATTTTATTTATGGGTCATCACTAAAATTCCATAGTCTGTTAGGTAAGTATTATTATCCTTTTACATGTAAAAAAAATTGTTCAGATAGTGTAGGGTTGTTCAAGATCAACTGACTGATAAATTGTGGACCTAAAACTCAAACCCAAATTTGCTGACTTTGAGTTTTATCAAGTCCAAATCTGGTATCATTCTGAAAAAAAAAAAAAAAAAAAACGCACAAATAAAACGTTATGTAAGAATAAATCCTGCAGCTAATGGTACTAAGCTTGTGAAAATTTCTAAGACACAGATTATTTTTCCACCATGACTTTCAGAAATAAGTAACCACTCTATTGTGCCCATTTCTATCACATTTCAATGATTCCCTCAGGGTCTTTCCCTTTATTCTCTCAGATATGGAAAAAGATTAATGTTAGAAAGAGCTTTGAGAAATCCAGAAAGAATATATACAAATATAAGTGGCAATATTATTTAAAGATTCAAAACATTGTAAACTATGGGATAATTTCACTTCTTTTGTGTAAAAAAGCATATAAGATTAAATAATAATATTGCTAAGAGTTCTTTGAAGTTAAGGACATAGATTTTTCAATTTTGTATCCCTTGAAACAGTGCAGCACTACCTCAGTAATAAATGTTATTATTTAACATTTATTATTTGCAAAGCAAATAAAATTATATATAAGGACCACTTGGATTAAGTATCCCAATTACTGCTATCAATTCTAAAATAACTTTTATGCTTCCGTTTAGACAATTCCTTATATTGGACTGATATGAGCAACAAGTCATATCAGATTAATAGAGCAGCTAGTCTGCCAATTAATATTCATTGTAACTTTTAGAAGTAAAATGGCTTCTAGATGATTTACATTGCTCAAAGAAATTAGAGGCATTATTTTTCAAAAAAGAAAACTTCCTTATTTAAATATTTTCAAACCTCTTTAATAAATATGGTTCATTAAATTTAATTAAGTTTAATTAATATGGTTGAAGAGCCAGTTCTATAGCACAAACTAAATAAGTCAATTACTGAGTGACGTACTGTAGATGTCCAAACACAGCTCAGGATTTTATTTTGAATTGTATTTTCTGCTTGGAAAATATTCTGAAAAGATCCAATGGATTTGTGATGGCCCAAATCACTGCAACTGTGTTACCTGATGCAGCTGGCTCTGGGAATAAGTCTTTTTAAAAACACATAAAATTTCATATTTTAGATTTGATTCAAACAATTTAAGGGAATTTTTGAATAGATGTTCATTATTGTATTTTCAAAGTTTAAGTTTAATAGGTGAAAATTAAATTCTTTTGGGCATACATGCTTAAATGATAGACACAACTGTGGCAGAGAATAAGAGTTAATTTTATGTATTTTTAAAATAAATATATATATATATTAAAATGTGATGTCCTTGTTCACTTATTTTGCTAGAACTGTGGAACTCAAATAAGGAATTTCTTATTAAAGGTGGATACTTTCCCCTACTCCATGTGCCTTTGATGAACAAATTAATCACATTAGAGTGAATAGGTTTCAATGAAATATTAAACGGAGGGAGACACACAAATATTGTGCTCCTGTTTTGGTTTTAGACAGTTTTCTCTGCAACGATCCAGATGTGTGGTGGTCTCAGATGGATCTTCTGTGGCAGGTACCCATTTCAATTTAATGTTAAAGTATTTTTTTTAAGTGTTACTTTATATCCTTAGGGAAATCAAATTTAAATCAATCTTAACAGTTACAAGAAGACATGCAAGTTGAAAGAAACTTAAAAATCGCTCTTCCAGAACTTAATAAGTACCATTTGAGAGAATGAGACATCCTTCTGAATTAAATTAACTACCTCCTGTATTTTCCAAGGACTATATTCTTTACAAATATAAACAAACCTACCCTGAAAGCTCTCTACAAGTGCATCTTTGAGAAAAAAGAAAATGGAATCAATTGACAATTAAAATTCTACTTGTATTTTAGACATCAATATACTACTATAAGTTTTAAAATTCTATAAAATAATTTTTACAGCTTTATTTATTTATGTGATGTACTTTTACTGGGAAAACTCAACAGCTTTTCTGGTTGTTTATCAGCATTACATTTTTATTTTATGCTATCATTCACAGTATTTATTGTTTAAGCATAATATATATTTACCTGTTTTGAGAGAGAGTAAGATTTTGTAGTAAAGGCAGCCAATATGAAGAAAACGCTTCCACAGTTGAAATGCTGTTATCATCCAAGTGCAATTCTCTTAGTAGAACATGATCCCCCAATTTTGGAAGCTATAATTAAATTAGTTTCATTAGTTATATTAAACAAAATAATTTGTCATTTAACTAAATTAAAAAATATATAAAACCTACCAGAACAAGTATTTTATGATAAGCTTCATTTGAATTGTAAACTTCATATCATAAATCAAAGTATAATATAATGAGACTTTCGGTATGAATAAAATTTTTAATAACTAATTTTATAATGTTTTAAGTAGCTCTGTTACCAAAGAAGGAGTTCTGGTGGCATAGTGCCTAAGGCTAACCAGAAGGCTGGAAGTTCAAACCACCAGCCACTCCTCGGAAGGAAGGTTGGAAAATCTACTTCCATAGTGATATCGCCTTGGAAACCCAAGGAGGGGTCGCTATGAGTCTGCTCTGACTCTACGGCAGTGAGTTTGGTTTTTTTGGTAATGTCTTTCTCTACAGAAAAATGTGTTGATCACAGAAATTAATAGATCCAAAACAATTACCTCACTTAGATAATTTCCTTGTAACTTCAAAATTTGAAGCAATCCACAATTTGCAATGCCCTCAACTTCAGTTAGATGATTATGTGAGCAATCCAGATATATAATGGTAGGAGTATCAGAAAGACCTTTTGTACTAATTAATTGATTGTGGTCCAAAATTAGTTGCTGAAGATTTTTCAAAGATTCTAGACCACCTGGAAGAAAAGTATTTTTGAGATTATTGTATTGTTCCAGACTCTAAGAGGGAGTTTCAATTTTCTGTCTCCTAAATTGTTACATTTGTATATTTCTCAATATTCACAATTACAAATGAAGACAGCCCAAACTCCTGGTGATATTTATGTCGCAAAATGTGTTATTATTTAAACTTGTATTTGTTGTACATAATTTTAAATGATATAAAAATATATCAATTGAAAAGTCAACAATGTATCAAAAGGCATATATTGAGCACTGAATTTTTTTTTCTTTCAGATGGCAACAGAACATAGATAGAAAGGATTATTTGAAAAAAAGTTTTCAACTCAGTTTCAAAGCCTCTAAATTTTGAATCCCTGCTTAAGGATGCACTGTAACATTGGAATGTCATTTTACTATAATTGAAAGATCTTCCTTAGATTTGCCAAAAAGTAAACACAATCATATCAGAACCAATGAAATATTCTTCAAGCATATTATTGTATAGCATATTCTTCAATTATTTCAAGATGGTCATGAGTGGCTTCCTCTCTGCCCATGTAAATTTTAAAACCATACAATGCTATATAAAGCATGTTAGTGAAGGTTTAAAACTGATAGTTCAGTGGTTAGGAAGAAATAGAAAAAGTTGTTGGAAGTTAGCACTGGAAAGAGATGCTGAAGAAGTCTATAAAAGTTGATGTACAATATTAAAAGTCTAGATTGGATATTGGACTATACATGCTCTCTATAGTTGCTATACTATTGTATGAATAAGAAAACTCTTTTGTTGTTGTTATGTCCCGTCGAGTTGGACCCAACTCATAGCGACCCCTCTTTGGGTTTCCGAGGCAGTATCACTACAGAAGTAGGCTGCCCAACCTTCCTTCCAAGGAGTGGCTAGTGGGTTTTAACCACCAGCCTTCTGGTTAGCAGTCAAGTGCCTTAGGCACTATGCTACCGGAGCTCCCAAGCAAACTCTAGAAACTGGAAATAAAGATTAAGGTCTAGAGTAGGCACTGATAAGCAGACTATCATCAGTGAAGACTGTACACATGTGAGTAATTAAAACTAAATCTTGAAGAATCTAGCTTTATTCTGATTTGTCAAACTTCCACAAAATATTATTGTCAATTAAATGTTCAAATAGATAGTATTTTACCAAAAAAGTTATTTGATGATATATAATCTTTGAAAAAACAAAATTAAGTTAAAATTAATATCTAGAATTTATTAATAATTTAATCCTGGAACAATTTAAAGCATTAAAGCCAAGATTTGCTCTTTTCATTATATACTGTGATTTACAAAAAGAAATACAGAATGTTGGCTTGTATTATATATGAAGAAATTAAAGAAAGAATCAAGTAATGTTATCAAGATCTCAAAGAAAAATTTAATTCTGGACCATATTTTGAAAATTCAGATAATATTATAGTTATAGTTATAGTTATAGGTGTACTATAAAATATTTCATAGAGAAATAATTCAAGAAAACTATAAATAAAATGCTGGATCTCGAATAATTCAAGTCCCATAAAGCAAGTTAAATTTATAGATGAATATTCCTCATAAACTAATGTTTTATATAAAAAGTATTTTTTCTTATAATAAGGAATAAATTATATGATTTCAATGACAAGCAGGAAATGCTTAGCAGACCTGCAGAAGAGAAGAGAAATGGAAATTCGAATTCAGCTATTAATCTTACATTTTTAAGCTTCTGTCTAGCATAAATGTATTGGTATTTTACTATAATGTAAAATAGGAATTATGAAAGAGAAAATTGTCATCCATATTATCAGTGAATAAATAGTTTGCCTTATCAAATTTTTGACTAAGTGAAAATAACAGACAAATGATGTATTATCAATTTCAAGTAATTATATATAGTATATTACATACTACTACTGGGAGCTCTGGTAGCATAGAGCCTAAGGCACTTGACTACTAACCACAAGGCTGGCGGTTCAAACACACCAGCCACTCCTCGGAAGGAAGATGGGGTAATCGACTTCCATAGTGATATCACCTCGGAAACCCAAGGAGGGGTTGCTATGAGTCGGGTCCGACTCAATGGCACATAACAACAACAACTACCCATAGATATAATATATATGGGAGCTCCGATGGTGTAGTGCCAAACGTATCTGACTGCTAACCAGAAGGCTGGCAGTTCAAACCCACCAGCCACTCCATGGAAGGAAGAATGGGCAATCTACTTCCATAATGATACTGCCTCAGAAACTCAAGGAGGGAGGGATTCCAGGATGGTGGAATAGGCAGAAAGACTGCACAGACACTCTTCAACAAAGAAAAGAGGAACCAATTAACAAAGACACAGAAGATAATCCTGGACCCCTGAGCCTTGAAGGGAAGGATATAGAAGTGGAGTAAACCCCAACTAGCAGAAGAATTTGCATGAGAATACCAAAAAAGGAGACATAAGACCTGCGGCCTGGCAGCGATCCTGAGTGATCCTGATGGCACAGACAGCTTGGAGATTCCCAAGTGGTGATATGACCTAAGAATTAACCTAAAAATCAGTCCTTCTAGGCAGAGACTGCATGGAGGACTGCTCTGGTGGCTGGGGAATAAAATAGGAGCAGCAGCAAAGAGGAAGGAGGGCTGAGTTGTGGACTGTTGCCTCTCCAGAGGGCACAGCCATTTTGAATGTTTAGAAGTGGATATTTAAAGAGACAACACTCTCCCAGATTCCAGGGGCTTAAGAGCAGGTTCTGCTTGCCAGTAACCCCAAGGATACTCTGCATCTGCACGACTGAAAAGGTGCGACAGTCTGCTTGTTACTCTTATACCCTACACCTGCTTGGTGAACAGAGATGTGGCTATCCCCCAATCCTACCCACCTTCTGGGCCCGCGGGAACTCCATCTAAGTATGTGTGCTCAGACGGAGCCTGGGTATCCTGCCCTGTCCTCCACCAATTTTTTTTCTTTTTCTTTTTCTTTCTTTTTTCCTTTTCATTTTTCTCCTGTTTAGTTTGCTTGTTTTTGTCTGTTTCAAAACTATTACTTTATTAATACTTCTGTCCTTTTTACTATTATTCTTTATTCTTTCCCTCTCAGGTCCTAGTTTTCAGCTTTTTTACTTTTCTTTGTTCCTGGTTGAAAAATTTTTTTTTAATTTATTTTTTTCCCCTGTTTTCTCATGGTTAACCCTGTTCCTTGTTTTTATTTTTGCATTTTTTTTTCCATTTTTTTCTTCATTATTTTACTTCTCTGCCTTTTTTCCCTTAATGCCCTATACTCGGATATTACAGGTTTTCTTGTTTTTTCTTTTTCTTTTCTCCCTTTTTTCTTTTTTTGGTTACTGTTCCTGTGTGATTACATCATATATTTTGTCCATTTGTTTTAGTTTTTTATGGTTATTCAATTGTAATTTTTGTCAAACTGAGTGGGAGACAACAACAGTCCCCATAAGA